TGCCTGCATGACCTGGGGCAAGTCACTGAGCCTCTCTAATTTTTTTTTCACTTGTAAAGTAGGGATAACCATAGCACCCTCTGCACAGGTAGCTAGTGTTAGGATTAGGTAATTAATGTAAATCGTGTAAACTGGGACCTGGAATTTACAGATTGGAAGCCACTAGTATCAGCATCTTTAGTTCCTAAGGCTTCAGTTCTCTGATCTATGTACTTGCTGATCACTCCCGCTGGGTAGCAGGTAGTAGGTAGCCCATGAGTTCCAAGGAGACTTAGCACACGGGGCCCAGCCCAGCCCCACCTGAGACTTTGCTGCCAAGGTTTCGCCTTGTTCCTGGTCAGCTGGTTTTCTGGTCTGTGCCCATCTGCCCCAGTAGCCTTCTCAATCCCAGGCCCCTTTCTTCCCCTCATCACCACACACCCCTCCGGCTGCCCTTCCTTTCCAACCCCCATAGAGACCTCACACCCCAGCGTGCCTCCCCCTCCCTCTACCCTCTGCTCGCACAGGAGCCATCATGAGAGCTTCCTTAAAAACCCACTTTCATCCCTCCCCAACTCAAAATCTATCAAAAGCTGCCTGCTCCCAATAGGATAAAACCCAAACTCCTCGGTGCACTTTCCAAGGCCTCCCGGATCTGGACCTAACTAACTGCATCTTCTAACTCTTCCACACCTTGCAGTACCCTAACCTCTGCTCTGGCCACTGGCCTCCCCTGTCCATCAGATCTGTTTTGGTAGCTACCAACCCACTGCCTTTACTCCTGTTCTTCCTGCTGCTTCGAGTCCCTTTCCTTACCCACCTCAGTCTCCATCAAGCCACACCCCTGCTTCAAGGTCTGTGCCAGACTCTCTTCCCCGAGAAGGTTTCCCTGACCTCCCAAACCTCATGATGGCCCAGCCATTCAGCTTGTGAACCCTGTCTCCCAACGAGATCAGTTCCTTAAAGGCTCTGTCTCACATGCCTCCAAATCCTCACACAGCACTTAACACAAAGCCTTTACCCACAGTACATACCCAACCAACATCTGTTCATTCAGTAACGAATTACAGGTACTTCCCCTTTTTTCTCCGACAACGGAGAAAGTTAGAAATGTCATTCTACTCAAGGGATTGTTCTGAAGACCTACAATATTCTGAGCACTGTGCAGGTTTTTATGGGTGAGGAGGGGACCGAAAGATGGAATGACACAAGCCTTGTGCAGAAGGACCCGAAATTATGAGGGATTTCTTATTCTAGGCTCCCCTCGTGGGCTTTATGAGTTCCAGAGCCCCCTGAAATTATAGGCAAAATTTCCCAGATGGGTGCATGGGACAGACAGGAAGGCTCCCCGCTTTCATTAGCTGCTCAAATGGGTTTTGAACACCCTAGAGAGCAAGGGTCATGTTTCTAAGGAAACAGTAACACAACCAATTTTCCTATTGGTGGGTGAGTAAATGCTCGATGGAGAGAAAGACTTGAGCTGAGTTTCACTGTCAAGGGGAAGGAAGGGAAAGCCTTCACAGAAGAGAAGGGAGCTAAGCTGGTTCTCAGTCAACAGGAGGAATTCTAGGAGGAAGAGAAGGGGAGAAGGGCATTGGGAGCACAGGGTGTGGCCTAAGACAAGGCCTGGAGGCATGGGAGTGTGTGGTATCTTTGGGGAGGGGCCAAAGATACCCCCTGTGGCCCCTCTGTGGGCTTCTATGGTCTTCTGTGGCTGGGGCAGGGGAGGTAGAAGCCCCAGATTGATGTAGGGGGATCCCTGTTACTTGTCCCAGGTAGAGGCTCTTTCAGGAGTGGGCTCATGCACAATCATATGGCCTGGGGTGTCTACATGACAGAGAAGCTGAAAGAGAAACCAATCACTCCTCCCTCCACTGGGGGGCCAGGGTAGGTGGTGAACCAGCTGTCAAGAGAAGTCAGGAACACCTGTTCTAATGAGGTACAGCAAGGAAGCTTCTAGATGCTTCTCTGTATGGAGAGTGCAAAGCTGGCTGGCCCAAGGAGGCTCTGGATATGGGGCTGTCTTCCTCTAGATAATCCATGATGGGTTGGGGGAGGAGGGCAGAGGTGGGGAAGCCAAGAGAGTGAGGGAGTCTTTAGAGGCCGAAACACAAATCTGGGTCTGCTCTGCATTGGGCAGTTCTCACAACATCCAAACAGCAGACTCTCCAGGTGGGCAGCCCCTGGGGTCCTGAGAGAGGAAAGAGATTGGAGATCCAGCATCTGGGGTCAGGGCATCTGGGAACCACCAACTGGCTGGCTGTAGGTAGACCTGACTGGAAGATTCCAATACCCCAGGGCCCTGCCGCTCTCCCAGGGTGCAGTTCAGGCTTTCTGTCTTCCAACATGCCAGGCTCACTCCTCTGTCAGGACCTTCGTGCTTGTTTGGAATCTTTGTCCCCTTCTGCTCCCATGGCTGTCTCTTTCTCATAGCCAAGTTTCATCACAAATGTCCCTTCCAGATTCAGGGGAAACTGTCTGAAGTAGCTGCCCCCATACCCCCACCCAGATTAATGTGTAGGGATCCCTGCACTCAGCTTCCCAGACTGCAAATCCATGCTGGCGTGCTTCCAGAAAACACCTTCTCCGGCTGCCTGGCTCACTTTGGCCTGAGTCTTGGGTCAACTTTTCTTTTCTGCTCCCCACAGGTGACATAACAAAGGGAGGAGGTGCCCATGGGCCTGGAGGCCTTTGTCAGCCAGAAGGATTGTGCCTGAGGAGCCTGAGTTGCCTTAGGGATGGGTCAGGCACCTGCCATGGTGCCACCTATGACAGGACTGGGCTCCGACCGTACCATGTCCAATGGACTCTCCAGGGCAGCCCCGCTCTGGTCCTGGTCTCTCTTTGCACTGGCACCTTCCCTGCCCTCCTATGTGAGGACTGTCTTGTCTTGTGTCACAGAGGAGACACAGCCCCAGAGGCCCCAGGGGCCCCTGGCATAAGTCCTTGATATATCGTATTCCTCCCAATTCCCAAGCAATCTCTGTTCAGGGTAATAAAACGGAGAAAAAAAAATTCCACAGGAATAAGTAGAGCTTTCAGAACTGAAGGAGAAAAGCATTCCAAAGTCACAATGACTTGTCTGGGTTTTAATCAGGGCAGGAGAATTTTGGGGAGGAAAAGCTGGTTGGGAGGCAGGCATGGCAGTGAACACATATACCCTTGGGAGATCTCACAGGCCGTGCATATGTGTGTGCATGTAAGCGTGGAGGGCATGTGCTGTGGGCACATGCGCCTTCTGTACTGTAGCTGTCATTTGGTTAACAGAGATTTGGGCACCTTGCTCTCTCTTTGGCCAAGAGGCCTGTGGCCTGTCCTTGTCTAAAGATCACACCAGGCATTTCCTGCCCTGGGCTTTAATGCCTGAGTTAATGAAAATGAGTTAATGTATAGAAGATGCTTAACACAGCACCTGGCAGCTAGGAGTGCTCAGTAAGTGACAGCTCGTCAATTACCACTGTGGCCATTATTATTAACACCAATGGAGCCCTATAGCCATCTTGGCTAATTCTGATGCTCTGAGTAGGTATGCGCTGACTGCCTGGTTTCTTGGGGCACCACCCACTCTGTGCTCATTCCTGAAGCCCCGGCAGCCAGCACCGTGCCCGGCTCGCTGAAAGCCATCAGTTCATGCGTCACGGAAACAGGACTGAAGACCTAGCATTGCCACTCTTTCCACAGGCCCTGGTTCTATGACAGGAAACCAAAGCAGGTCCCCCTGGTGGGAAGTGCCTCCTTTGCAGAACCACTGCTGGACTTGGCCCCTCAGAGGAGCAGGGGGCGGGGACCCGGCCCTCCTGCCAGCACCAGTCGTCCCTGTCCAGGGCTGGCCTTCAACACACCCTCAGGCACCAAACACCCCTGTGGAGGAGGAGCCAATGCCTGAGCTGGGATGAGTCTGCCCCATGGAATTAGAATTTTGTGTGTAAATTACTGAATTTTACATGTAAAGCTGTCGGCCACAGATTACTTACCAGACGAGGATAGTTTTCCTCTGTGAGGGAGATGATTTTTAGCAAAGACAGGATATGTATGTAGCACACTACTGAATCACACAGTAATCAGAGATTAATTCTCTCCATCCAGAGGCTCCAGTGTGGGGCCCAGGCGCTCAAAGACCTCCCCACCTTCCCTTCTCCACCTTCCAGGACACAGGGAAAGGATTGCTGGGATTCACGACCCCCCAGGGCACAAAGAGCCACTGGTGGATAGAATTCTCTAAGGCTGTTTTCCTTCTTTCCCTTCCTCTCTTTTATTTAGCTTTGCCAAGGATAGCTGTATATGGTTCAGTCTTACAGTTAATGCAAATGTTTGCAAATAAGAGGCTTTTATGCACTTATTCCATTCACCACTTATCAGACACCTGGAAACTCAACTGAAAAACAGTTCCTTGTCTATAAGCATTGAATCACTAAATTGTACACCTGAAACCAGGATTACAGTGTATGTTAACTAACTGCAATTTAAATAAAACGTTCAAAAAAACCCCAACAACCCCTATTTCAGGACATCAACTTCCTACAGGAAGGAGAGCCTCTTAGGTCCTCAGACTCACCTGGAAGAATGAGGTGTAAAGGAGGAAAGAGAGTCAATTCAAATGGCTGCCCCCCACTCCCAAGAAGGCAAGCACAGTTCTCCTAAGGAGGGGAGACGGTGCTCAGGTAGTGCTTGTTTGGTTTGAGAAATGCTTTTTCTGTTCAAGTTCATTGCCCAAGGGCAAGTACTCGCACAATGTTGTGTGTTGTAGGAGTTCCAATTTAGGACAGTCACCAACCCTTTGTCATATGCAAAATAAACAAATTCTGTGTCTGCTGTCTTTGCTGGCAACTTTGCTTGGGAGGTGTGCCCATCACCTAAGCCCCTGTTTGACTGTATTTGCCAGGCTGACTGATACACTGGCTTAGGCTGGCGACTAGCCTTCTCTATCACACACAGCAGTCTCTTCCTGTTCCTGGGAGGTAGCCGATGTTGCAAAGAGCACAGCCTCCCTCCCTGAGGTGCCCATGGGCCCCGTGGCCTACCTTTCTCTCTTTGTCACCATATTCGATGCCCAAAGTATCCATGGCCCGGACGATGGCTGCCAGGGACTGGATGGTGTTGCTGTAGACAACAGGCTTGTACTGTTTCACGTCTTCTCCAGAGAAGCCATCTTCGTGGATGATCCTAGAGAGAAAAACCACACACACATCTGATGAGTGCACTGTCCTCACTTGGCATCAAGAGTGCCAGGTGCGTGAAGCCCCCGGGGCCAACCTCCTGGCTTTGCTGGCTGAGGACTGGGTCCGACCCGGATGCTGAATTACTGACCTGCTGCATCAGTACCATAAAATCTGAAGGAAGAACCTACTGAAATTAAGCTGAAACAGAGTAGTGGCAAAAAGAAACGTAGTGTCTTTACACTCCCTATTTATAGTGACAGCAGTATCAGTTGGCAAGGTGCTGATAATACTTGAAAGTGCTTAGAACAGGAGGGGCACACACGAAGAACTCAATAAGTGTTAGCTATTGGTATTTTATTTATTTATTTTTTTTAAATTTTTTTTTCAACGTTTTTTTATTTATTTTTGGGACAGAGAGAGACAGAGCATGAACGGGGGAGGGGCAGAGAGAGAGGGAGACACAGAATCGGAAACAGGCTCCAGGCTCCGAGCCATCAGCCCAGAGCCTGACGCGGGGCTCGAACTCAGGGACCGCGAGATCGTGACCTGGCTGAAGTCGGACGCTTAACCGACTGCGCCACCCAGGCGCCCCTTAGCTATTGGTATTTTTAAGCAAAGCTCAGGGTCTTAACTTAAATTTCCACTTAGAAGTACATTGATGAAGACCCCGGCAAGAAGCCTGCAAATGAATGATAATTTTTTTTTGCAGAAAACTCACAGTGCTTGAAGGAAAGAGGACTCACTTAAATGAACCGTCGTCATCTCTGACAACAGAAAAACCAACAGAAGGAGGGTGCCTACTCTTCCATCCCTGGCTGGGATTGAACTACCGTGTCACCCTTATTCTGGTGGCTCTGAATAGTGACACGGAGGACACAAAAGTGCCATCAGTTCTCAGAGGCCACGCGATACTCTCTGCTCTCCTGTTCTCAGACTCCTCCGAGGTCAAGGTTAAGGCTAGACATGTCCTGATGTCCCTTCTCCCTGCAGAGAGCAGTCACTCTGTACAGGCTTACTGCTGACCAGGTTCCAGGTAGGGGAAAAAGCTAGAAAGAGGGGATAAAACCTAAACGTTGCAAGAGTTCTCCTATAGCTGAAGTAACGAGGAAAGACTGAATGGATTTTGAGACTAACACCCAACAGTGGCCACCACCTCCCCAAGAAAACTGTGTAAATTCTTCTCTGGCCACATTTTCCAGTTCGCAATTAAATACTACTTATGGTATGTACATACATCAATATGAGAGCTGAGACTTCCACATCAACATGGCACTTTTCCATTCCTTCATTACCTTCAGTACAGAAGAAAATCACTAACAATTCTTTTTTTAAAAACAGTTTTACTGAGACATAACTCGCATACCATTCAATCCACCCATTTAAAGTGTGCAAGTCAATGTTTTTTGGTATATTCGCATAGTTCAACAATGATCACTAGTCTAATTTTTGTCCCCCCACCAAAAAGATACTCTGTACCTATTAGTAATCTCCACTCACCCCCCACCTCACAGTAAGCAATCACTAATCTGTATTCTGTTTCTATAGATTTGTCTATTCTAGACATATCATATAAATGGAATCATATAACACGTGGTCTTTTGTGATAAGCTTCTTTCATTTAGCATAATGTTTTCAAGATTCATCATTTCATCATGGTACAGCATTTTTCAGTACTTCATTTCTTTCTTTCTTTCTTTCTTTCTTTCTTTCTTTCTTTCTTTCTCTCTCTTTTTCTCTTTCTTTCCTTCCTTCCCTTCCTTCCTGGCTTCCTCCCTCCCTCTCTCTCTCTTTCACCCTCCCTCTTCCTTCCTTCCTTCCTTCCATCCTTCCTTCCTTCTTCTTTCTTTCTTTCTTTCTTTCTTTCTTTCTTTCTTTCTTTCTTTCTTTCTTTCTTTCTTTCTAGTAGGCTTCATGTCCAGTGTGGAGCCCAATGCGGGGCTTGAATTTTCAACCCTGAAATCAAGAACTGAGGTGAGATTAAGAGTAAGATGTTCAACTGACTGACCCACACAGGCATCCCTGGACTTCATTTCTTTTTATTGCCCAGTTATATTCCATTGTATGGATATGCCACATTTTATTTATCCATCCATCAGTTGATGGACACTAACAATTCCTGTTGTAAAATTTGACTTGATACTGGGTTGTGAGTCTTTATCCTGGGTTTCTCTAAGAAGCAGATCAGAATGACCCTTGTGACTTTTCATGGACTTTTTATTAACCCTAAATCCATTTCTGTACAAGTTTCTGGAGGGAGTGTACACGTAGCCTGGATCATTGATGCACCCCAGAGGGATCTTAAAGGAAATTGCTAGTTCCCACTGTAAACAATCAGAAAATTGGACAAAATATAAGAAACAAGAAGTTTCAGACACAAGAGAATAAGTAGTACAGGACTGTGATCCAGGAGACAAGGGAAACAAATATGGTAGCCTTGTGATTGCCTCGGCTTTCCACCTGGAGGCATTTACCAGCTCTTAGCGCAGGGAGGGAGAACTCAAGAAGAGCACAGATCTGAGTTGATGAGACAACGCTCAAAGTTCAGGAAGCCTGAGATGGCTGGAATTTGAGGGGCAGAGTACCAGGGAGAGAAATCTACAGAGAGGGAGCAATCACTAGATATATGAATAGGGGTCTCCTCAGTCTTTGGCTGAATAGGGAGAGATTGCGAGGGCTCAGCAAGGAAGAGGCATCAGGGAGCTTATAAGGTGAACACTTCCCAAACCTCACTCAAGGCTGGGAGATGTGTGAGTTCTGACCAGGCAGAGTGGAGAGTCCTTGTTGAACAGCTAGATCACTCAGCAGAGACCCTAGAAGGCTCATGCCATAGTAGTAGGTCTAAACCAGCCCCAGAGTAAAAGCTACTTTAGACCCACCCTGACAAAGCTTAAAAATTTGCTTTAAAAAATTGAGCTGACCCACGAGTAACTTAATTTCCTGATAGAATAAAGTCCAACACTGTTTAAATCAGGACAACAGAATCAGACACTTAACAATATTTTTTAATGTCCGGCACCCAATACAAAATTCCCAGCTATGCAAAGAAGCAAGGTGTGATGCACAACAAGGAGAAAAATCAGTCAATGGAAGCAGACTCAGAAGTGACAGAGGTGATGGAATTAACAATGACTTTAGAAATACCTATTTAAAATATTTTCAAGAAATTAAAGGAAAACATGAACATAACGAGCAGAGACATGGAAGATATAAAAAAGAACAGAACAGAATTTCTAGAGATGGAAATATAATATTTGAGATAAAAATTTCACAGTATGCAACTAACTCATAGAAGATTAGTGGCCTTGAACAATCAGCCATGGAAACTATCCAAACTGAAGCAAAGAGAGGAAAAAGGCTAAAAAAACTATATTGTGTTATTTATAACATATGTAAAAGCAAACTTATGCAACGACGGCACAAAGGATAGGAGGGATAAAATGGAAACACGCTGTTGAAAAATTCTTACACATGAAGCACTTCAAAGTAAAGGTGGTAAGTTAAGACACATATTGTAAACTTTAGAACAACTAAAAAGCTATATAAAAAAGCCAGTTGTTACCTAGGCTCCATGACCAGCCTCCCCACAGAGGGTGGGACCTGCTGGGGAACCTGAGAGGTGGAGCCGGGATTTGCAGGTCCCCATGACACTGTCTCTGAAGAAGTCAGTGCAGTGAGTTTCTCATGCTTCATTTTGGACCAGGAGGCCTTACCACTCTCCCGGAAATACTCTCTAGACCCTTGGCTGCCTTCAGGATTTCCCCTGAAACACTAGGGATGGGGCTATCATTTTCCACACCCATGAGTATCAGTCCTTATGCCACCTAATAAGGCAGGGAGGGGACGTTTTTTATTCTGTTTGACAGAACAGGAAGAGAGTCTGAGAGAGATTAAGTACTTGGCCTAACATCTTCTCAGCCCAGGAGTGGAGTGCGGGTCGACCGGGACACTCTTCTACACCAGCTGGACTGGGTCGAAAACTGCCAGAAAGGTCTCAGCCTGGTGCCTGGGGTGGCCCGAGATACAGAAGCTTCATGTGAGGTTTGCAGAAATGATGCGATGTGGGAAAAACCTGCTCCGGTCACAACGATGAGTTCCATACCTTGTACAAACTGGCTCATATGAGCTTAAAATTGGACTTCCTGTTTCAGGGTGGGATTTTATATTGCCCTCTAACTACCAAGTAGTAAATGCTAACACTAGAAAATCTGGGCCATATAAAACACCACCAACAAAACCCCCCACAACAACCCATATTATCAGTAATCCCGCCACTCGGGGAAAGACGCTGCAGTTTTTAGTGTCCACCCTTCCAGGACTGTTTTCATACCACCTTGTTCATCTTCGCTACCCGCACCCCCCTGCCCCCAGCATTGATTTGAGTCGTGTGTCCTTACAAGTATCACTTAAGGCCCCTTTATTTTCTATTTCCCCATCTCATTCTGGAGGCAGAGCAGAGCTGTGGTTAGTCTTAGGAGTCACACAGGTGTGGGCAAACCCCAGCTCTACCACTGACGAGCTGGGTGTCATTGGTAAAGGATTTCACCCCTCAGGTCTTGGGTTTCTCATCTGCAAGGAGCTGTTGGGTGAGGAATAAATGGAAAGTGCCGATCGTATGTAAGTATATAATAAATGGTACCTATTAGTAATATATATCCTCATTCCATAGTCAAAATCCCCCAAATAGAATTTCCTTCATTGGCAGTATAAAAGAAACAATAATAATAGCAGCTGATGTCTGAGGGTTTGCTCTCTGTTAAGGGCTTTACATGTACCCTCTCATCTAATCTTCAAGATAATCCTAGGAGATAAAAACTATCATCACCTCTTTACAGATGAGACAACCGAAACTAGAGAGATGGAACCACTTACCTGGGGTCACACAGCTGGTAGGTGTCAAAGTGGCATTCGAGACCCTACCT